AACAAATATTGTTGTTATTAAATGATTGTTATTAAATGATAGAATTCACTAAAAGTATATAAATATGTAATAAATAAAATAATTTTGTGATAAAAATGATAAATGAGGTTTATCTATTGTCAATACATTAGTCATTTTCATTTACACCTGAAAAAACAGTCAAAAAGCATAATTTTTGTGACTGGGCGGAGCTACCCGACACATTTTCAAAAGAGCTGAAAAACATGTTTTTTTTTAATTTCTATTTTTTTAAGTTAAACTATTCTTTTTGCATTATTTAATTTGATGTTATTCTTTTTTTGGTTTATTCTTTTTGCATTATTTAATTAGATGTTGAAACAATAGAAACATACAAAAATATTGATTATTACTCAATATTATAGAGAAATATAAGCAATACTCCTTAACTGGGATGGGCTACCCGACTCTCCCCTATATGTAGTGTGTATTATTACTATGTCTATCAACTATAAATTTATCTTGAAAAAATAAATGGTGCCCGCCATTCGACCGATATTCTGGTATTTGCTCTTAGGTACAAAAAGGTTGGGAACCCCTGGGCTAGACAGTTAGACTTTTGTAAACAGCTCTGTTCTGTGGTTTTTGATTTAATAAATTATTTTTCTTACTCTAATATATTCTAATGGATATGGAAGCCTTGTTAAAGAAAAAAAAGAGTATTAAATCATCGATTACTAAATTGCAAAAAAAACAGAAGAGGAAATTGGGAATTTAAATAATGCGGGTTTATTGGCTCGGAAAAATAGATTTTTGGAATTTAGAACTGAGGCAAAAGATATTTTAGATTCTATTATAAGTATTTGCGAGGAAAAGGATGAGGAAACTTATTCTACGGAAAAGGACGACATTTTAGATGCGTTAGAGTCAGTACTTGTCGATATCGACACCCGGCTTTTGCCTCCCGTAGTGAATTCTAGTTTTGAGGTTAAAAACCAAAGTTCAGGCCAGGCTTCTGTCTCATCTCAGTTTGCTGAAGGGAAACTTCCTACGTTATCTTTACCTATATTTTCTGGTGCAAATGAGGAGTGGCTTGCCTTTTCCGATCTTTTTGAAGCTGCAGTCTCGAATAATCAAAATTTGACGGGAGCGCAAAAATTGCAATATTTAAAGGGGAGTTTAAAATCAGATGCCTTAAAAATCATAAACTCTTTATCCATTACTAATGATAATTTCGAAATCGCTTGGAAATTGCTAAAAGATAGATACTTTAACAAAAGGGAAATTATGTCCTCCTTAATGAAAAAGTTTATCAATATAACGCCCTTGAGTGGAGAATCATCCACGCAAATTTTAAATTTGATAGATTCCACTAAGGAATTCGTAAGAATGTTGGAGTCCTTGGAATACAAGGTTGATCCAACTACAGATACCCTTTTAATGCACATGATATTGTTCAAGCTTGATGCAAATTCAAGAACTTGGTTTGAGAGAACCTTTCAAACTGACGTCATTCCAAAGTTGGACGAACTGTTGCAATTCCTTGCAACACAAGCTAGATCTATCCCGAGTTCAACTACTAAGAGAAACATTCAAAGAAAGGTGACTTTGGTCGCGTCCAACGCCCAGTCACAATGTCCTCTGTGTAATGGAGATCATACATTATCGAAATATGATACGTTCTTAAAATTATCAGTTCAAGGCCGTTTAGATTTCGCTAAATCGAATAATGTTTGTTTTAACTGTTTTACTCGATTTCACAGTGTGAAAACCTGCAGCAGCAAGTTTAGATGTAAAAGGTGAAAAAAATCCCACCACTCTTTACTTCATATCGAAAATGTTAGCGATAGGGTAAAACAGGGTGCTGTAAATAAGTCAAATTCTAGTGAACTTTCTATCAACGCTCCTGAGTTTTCGCCCGCCCTTATTCCAAGTACTAGTCAATTAAGTGATAATTCTAGAGTGGTAGATGTTACATCGTGTATTTCGGGTGTGGGGCCAGACGTTCAAACTCTCCTCTGCACTGCTCTGATTCAGGTGAGAGATATTTGGGGTAACTATCAGACCTGTAGATGTCTTCTGGACAGCGGTAGCCAAGCTTCGCTTTTTACAAATGAGTGTATTGAGAAATTCGGCTTGCAAAAGGAAAAGGCCAATGTTCGCATTTCGTGCTTGGCGCATCCAATACGCGTACAAATGGGGTTGCTGAGATTCAATTCACCTCACATTTTTTATCTCAAAATTCTTTTCATGCATCCGTCTATGTGATAAACAAAATTGTAGGTATGATTCCACATCATGACTCAGATTCCTCAATGCGCGAATTATTTGGGGATATTTTTCTGGCTGATCCAGCATTTTACAAGAGTGCTCCGATTGATGAACTCCTTGGTGTTGACCTTATTTTGCCATTGCTAAGGGGTCAAACATTATCGTTAGGTAAGGATAAGCCATTTGCCATTCGTTCAGAACTGGGTTGGATAATTGGTGGTAAGGCAAATTCTGGTAGTCAAAATTCTCTACATGTCAATCATATTCAGTTAGTATCGGATCTTCTACTCAATAAATTCTGAGAATTAGATTCTGTACCATGCGTCAAACCCTTAACTTCTTTAGAAGAGGCTTGTGATGATCATTTCGTAAAGACACATTCTAGGGATGAGAATGGTAGATACACAGTAAGGTTGCCTTTTCACACTTCTCCCACGCGGTTAGGTAATTCAAAACAAAATGCAATTCGTAGGCTAATCAGCGTAGAGCGCCATCTCATTTCTAATCCTGAGAAATACAACCTTTATCGAAAATTTATGAAGGAATACCTTGATTTAAATCACATGGAACTGGTTCCGGACTCTGACGATAATAAAATCAAAAGTTTATACCTTCCTCACCATGGAGTTGCAAGAGACACTAGCTGCACAACAAAGCTTCGTGTAGTTTTTGATGCTTCCAGTAAAACTTCATCCGGATTCTCTCTCAACGATCTGCTCCTGGTTGGTCCGAGAGTGCAACCAGAACTTTTCCCTATTCTCATCCAGTTTCGACTTTTCAGTGTAGCCATTTGCGCTGATATTGAAAAGATGTTCCGCCAGATTAAAGTTCATGAGGAAGATGTAGACTGGCAAAGAATTCTTTGGAGGGATTCTCCAACCGCACAAATAAAGGAGTATCGTCTTATTACCGTTACGTACGGTACGTCCTCAGCACCATTCCTCTCCACGAGAACCTTACGACTGCTTGCCATAGACGAACAAGAAAATAATCCAAACGCTTCAAGAGCCACCCTTTGTCATTTTTACGTTGATGACTTGCTGAGCGGGAGTGCAACAACGGAGGGAGCCTTTCAACTGGTGTCCGAACTGCAGGAAATGATGAACAGAGGAGGATTTTCTCTACGAAAATGGGTGTCAAATGATACTGACGTACTAGCAACTATTTCGGAAGAGTTAAAGACCGTTGATTCCAAACACATGATCAACGACGATCAACCGGTCAAGATTCTGGGAATAGCTTGGCTTCCAGATGTTGACACGTTCACCTTCACCATCACCGTCAATGAGAGCGACGTATGGACTAAACGCAAGGTACTTTCTGAAGTCGCAAAAATCTTTGACCCTTTGGGCTGGTTGGCACCTACAGTTATCACTTCCAAAATCTTCCTCCAAGAGCTGTGGAGTCATCATCTTGGCTGGGATGAGGAGCTATCAGACTCTCTGGCAAGTCAATGGAGAGTATTTCAAAATCAGCTTCCTCTACTTACAAATATCAAGATTCCACGCTATATCCTCATTCCACAGGCTACAAGCGTACAAGTACACGGATTCTGTGATTCTTCAGAGAAGGCCTACTGTGCATCTATATACATTCGTTCCAAGGATGCGAACCAAGCCGTGACATCTACACTGCTAACTTCCAAGACACGTGTCTCTTCAGTAAAACCACAGTCTCTACCTCGACTGGAACTCTGTTCTGCCTTACTTCTGGCTAATTTGTTACAAGCTACCTTGCCAACACTAACTGTGCCAATCTCTGAGATATTTGCATGGTCTGATTCCAAGATCACACCGGCATGGTTGAAGTCCGAACCAAGAAGATAGCAACCGTTCGTAGCTAATCGAGTAGCACGAATTCAAGAGCAGACTCCTAACGTGCACTGGAACTTTGTGAGCGGTTTGGAAAATCCTGCTGATTGTGGAACGAGAGGGATACCCCTAACTAAACTAGAAAGGTGCGACTTGTGGTTCAACGGACCTGATTGGTTAAATAGTTCTACTTTTCCTAATGGAAGGTTTGAAGATGATCCACAATTAAAAGAAAACATGACTGCCGAAGCCAAAATAACCAAGCTGGTAATGTTGAATGTAGTTGATGCTACTTTCAAGGCAGAGTTTTTTCAAAAATTCTCGTCTTGGAACAAACTGAAAAGAGTAGTTGCCTATTGTTTTAGATTCATGAAGAACTGTTCTGTCGCTGCAGATAAAAGAAACAAATCCTTCTTAACAACGGCAGAATTGAATGAAGCCGAGAAGAGAATAGTCAAATTCATCCAGCAAGATCATTTTCCGACGAAAGTCTCCTATCTTTCAACAGGCAAGCAGCTTCCTTTGAATAACAAGCTTATCCCCGTGGCTCCATTCTACGATGATTCCGGAATAATTCGTGTCGGTGGTAGACTGAAAAATTCGATGCTTCCAGAATCAAAGAAGCATCCCATCCTGCTTCCTAAAACCGACCCTGTTGTGAACTTACTTATCACGGATTATCACTTGAAACTTCTTCATGCCGGTCCGCAACTTCTCCAAGCAGCTCTCGGAGAGAAATTTTGGATTCTTTCAGCCAGAGATGCAGTTAGAAGAGTGGTGAGAAAATGTATCCCATGCTTCAGAAATCGTCCAAGGCTCGCCGAGCAAATCATGGGAGATCTTCCAGAGTCCAGAGTTTGTCCCTCTTCTATATTCCAAAGAACTGGTCTTGACTTCGCCGGTCCATTCTTGATACGGAACTCCAAGGGAAGAGGCAGCCGAAATACTAAGTGCTACATATGCGTCTTCGTCTGCCTCGCAACGAAGGCAGTTAATCTTGAAGTCGTCAGCGACTTAACCTCAAAGGCATTTATTGCTTGTGTAAAAAGATTTGTGGCACGCAGAGGTAGACCTTCAGATATCTTCTGCGATCAAGGACCAATTTCTACGGAGCTAGCAGAGAGCTCAAAAAGGAGTTCCGGCAGTTGATGAAGGAAGGCGCCCTTCAACAATTCCTGGTAACAGACAACATCGCCTTTCACTTCAATCCTCCATCTGCTCCCCACTTCGGAGGCATTTGGGAGGCTACAGTGAAATCGTTCAAATTTCATTTGAAACGAGTTGTTGGAGATGTTAGTTTCACCTTCGAAGAACTGGCCACGCTGTCATGCCAAATAGAGGCATGCCTTAACTCAAGACCACTATGTGCATTATCTAGCAGTCCAGATGATCCGTCTGTTCTGACGCCAGGACATTTCCTGATAGGAAGGGCACTGACAGCTATTCCACAACATACGGTTCCAGACGACATCCGTCACTGCGACCGTTTGCGATTACTTACAAGAATGACCCAGCATTTTTGGAATAGATGGTCTTCAGAGTATTTGACATTGCTACAATCAAGATCGAAGTGGCGTATCTCTAAAAAGAACCTTGACATCGGAGATCTTGTCTTAATCAAACACGACAACTTACCCCCACTACAATGGAAGTTAGGGAAGGTCACGGAAACGTTCCCTGGTTAAGAAGATAAGGTTCGTGTGGTTAAGGTAAAAACTCATACTGGTGAACTTGTGAGACCTATTGCAAAACTGTGTCTTCTTCCTATAAACACTTGAACATTTGAAATTATGTATAATTTTCTTCTAGCATTGTAGAAGTCATCTATTCATCTGTAAAACCAGTTGCTTAATTTTATTAATTTAGAAGTGTGCTTTATTGTCAATTGAAGTTACTTATTATGTTTAACTAAATTCATTAATTTTAAAACCCCTCCGTGTTTCAAGGGGGGCGGGATGTTTAATTCTACAGTCCACAGATGGAACTTTGCGCATCCTAATTAATTATTCTTTGAGCTTGAGAAAATAAATAGTGTATGTGTATCGATTCCTGTGTGTGGAGTGTCTCAATGTTTTCGATATATTTGAATATTCTAAGTCATCTCCGATTCCATTAAATTGTGACAAATTCTAACTGATTTGTGAGATGTCTAAACGTTCCACCTTTAATTTTATAGTTCCAAGTTCATACAACAACCGAGTTAGGTAAAAATTTATGAAACATTCTTTTTCCCGCTATTTGGTAAATCACCTACATTGATGTTTTTTTAAGGTTAAGTGCCACTGCCCGGTATACCCTACACCAGAGATGGGGAAACTACGGCCCGCGGGCCAACTGTGGCCCGCCGGAAGATTTCATCCGGCCCACGGACAGAATTTTAACTAGCCGATCAGTGGCGAATATATCTACTTTGTTTAAAACTATTTTTGTTGATTTCTTTTTTAACAAAGTACTGATGACCTTTTCACTTTCTCTATTTTTGTTCTACAAAACATAAATTAATCAAAATAGTTAGCACAAACAGCTTTAACTGGTAAAATGTTGAAAGCAAAAGTTCTTTATAGTATAGCTGTAGATTAGCTCCAACTAGAATTTGTCTTTCTCGAGGAGCAGACATATGGAATCCAATATAGGTGAATTGTACTTCACATGAGACTGACTACGCGTTTTAAGTTCCAACGAACGGATTTTCTGCCGGCTCTAGTTCTAACATAATTTACTGCGTATGGAAAGGTTGCACACGTACAACGTCATTGTAAATAATGGTGAAATTATTAAATGTATAAAATGGCTACTGCCTTTTTGACTTATTTGTAAACATTTTTTATCCCAAAATGGCAACTAAAAAACGCAAAGTTGATGTAGAGTGACATGCACTCAATGATGAATTGACTTTATTTTATTTCAGAAGTTTTTACTCGGCCCACCAAACTTTTTTTTCTAGATTTTTGGCCCAAGACCCAAAAAGTTTGCTTATCCCTGCCCTACACTGATGTTTTTTTTAAGGTGAAGTGCCACTGCCCGATATACCCCACACTGATGTTTTTTTAAAGTTTAGTGCCATTGCCCGGTATATATTTGCCTGATACTCCAAACACTGATGTTTTTTCTAATCTATCGTCAGTAAGTATTAAAATACAGAATAATTATAAATATATCAAATAAATATAATAATATCATTATTATGAAATTGGATATAACAAATAT